GGATAATACAGTTTACTGAGGTTTTTTCTTTCACCATTTCCATTTGAATCTTAGTTTATTCATTTCTTTAAAAACAACAACATAATGTGAAGAATTGGTTCTACTCATGTTCCTGTGTGCTGATTGGTGATCTGATCCTGAGTGTTCACACCTGCCTGGGATTCGTCTGATGATCAGCTGCTGCTTTATAAAGTTTCTTCACCAGCTGATCTACGCTGATGCYTCTTACCTTCATGGTGGATTGCCCGATCACAGAACTCACGTCTCGTACCAGGAAAAAAACCTCCCGCCACGTTGGATCAGAAATCAAGAAARCTCACCACGGAGCACTCACAGCCGCTCTGCCTGAAGAACTGCCACCAGCCTTTGACAAACCTCCTCCTCTGGAATTCTTCGCCTTTGGAAAAATCTGAAAGAAACAAATCTTAACAAAGAATCTAAAGAAAATTACTCACCAAAGAATCAATACTCACCTTCTACGTTTTCCACCTTTTCAGCTGATGTCCAAACCGATCTCCACCTGTTAATAAATTGCACTTACCTTTTATTGTTGTCTTGGCCTGTTTTCTCAATCCCGCTGCTTTCGTTGAACATTTATTCCATTCCTGTCACATTTCAAACAACAAAAATACAAATGATAAATTAAATGAAAGGTAGAAGAAGAAGAAAAATCTAATACCTGTCCCTTTTTCTCAAATAAATAAATTAAATCAAAAATAATCTTTAGTTTACAAAAAAGAAAAATATTAAAGGTTTAACTCCTTGAACAACAATTCATACATTTACATATTTCTCCAGCAAATTATTCTTTATCATTCTCTTAAATATACTCATTGATCTGGCATTTTTAATTTCATCTTCCAGATTATTAAATAATCTTATATCCTGGACTGAAGTACTCCGTTCCTTCAAACTGGTTCTAACTTTAGGTTTAACAAACATTATCCCTTTGAGATTATAACATCTCTCTCTTTTAACAAAGTGTAATTGAATGTTTGAAGGTAATGTATTTTTATGAGCCCTACACATGACTGATAAAACACCATAATCAACCAAATCATTGAATTTCAATAACTTCAACTGATGGAACAATGAATTTGATGGGTGATAATAATGCTTCCTGGTGATAATTCTTAGAGCTCTGTTCTGTAAAACAAAAATTGGGTTTGTAATTGTTTTGCATGATTTTCCCCAAACATCAATACAGAAGGTCAAGTGTGGAACAATTATTGCATTGTATAATATAAACAGACTTTTATCATTACATAAATCCTTTACTTTGTACAATACTGCAATGATTTGGCTACTTTTGTTCTTAAATGATTTATGAGGTCTCCATGTCAGCTTTTCATCTATAATGACACCCAAAAACTTCACCTCACTGACTCTACAGATCTCAATACCATCAATTCTAAATGGAACATCAGCTGTTTTCTTTCAATTACTGATATAATTTGTCTTATCTAAATTTAATGATTATTACGCTTAAACCAGGTTTGTATTTTAGCAAATTCCATCTGCATCATTTCCAACATCCGTTCTATATTTTTACCAAAACAAAAAAATGTAGTGTCGTCTGCAAATAAAACACATTTAAAACAACCCTGACACATTTACCAAATCATTTACGTATAAAATAAACAACTTTGGTCTTAGTACAGAACCCTGAGGAACTCCACATGTAATATTAATTCAGATCTTATATCATTTATTTATACAAACTGTTTCCTATCCTTTAAATAACTAAACAACTGTAATGCTGGTCCTCTAATACCGTACTTGTTCAATTTTTCAAGTAGAATGGTGTGGTCAATGGTGTCAAAAGCTTTCTTCGTCAACATAAATACTACTAGCACAGTACTGTTTTTGATCAACAGCAGGTGTTATTTGCTCTATTAAGTCTATGAGAGCCATTGATGTGGAATTGTTAGCTCTAAACCCATACTGACTGCTACTTAGAATATTTTGTTTATCGATAAATTGATCCAATCTAAGCACAAATAATGTCTCTAAAATCTTTGAAAACTGTGGTAACAAGGATATTGGTCTGTAATTATTGAATAAACATTTCTCACCAT